TTGTATACATTTCGTTGACGTACGTTCGGTACTCCGTACGCGCCGCTTCCAGCTCAAGCGCTCGTTATCCTGCCTCGACATCGTTGAGAGAGAGAGAGAGAGAGAGAGAGAGAGAGAGAGAGAGAGAGAGAGAGAGAGAGAGAGAGAGAGAGAGAGAGAGAGAGAGAGAAAGAGATTCTTCTTCTTCTTCTTCTACTTCTTTTTTCCGCGTCTTAGTCTTCTTCTTCTTCTTCTTCTTCTTCTTCTGCTTCTTATTTTTTGGCGCTTCTTCTTCGTCTGCGCGGCTAGCACCCTTTCGTCACCGCTTCTTCTTCCTCTTTGCGGCTTCTTCTTCGTCTTCTTCGTCTTCTTCTTCTTCTTCTTCTTCTTCTTCTTCTTCTTCTTCTTCTTCTTCTTCTTCTTGCACTTCTTCTTCTTCTTCTTCTTCTTCTTCTTCGCCGCTTCTTCTTCGTCTACGAGGCTAGCACCCTTTCCTCGCCGCTTCTTTTTCCTCTTCGTCACTTTTTCTTCTTCCTCTTCTTCTTTTTCTTCTTCCTCTTATTCTTCTTCTTCTTCTTCTTCTTCTTCTTCCTCTTCTTCTTCTTCTTCTTCTTCTTCTTCTTCTTCTTCTTCCTCTTCTTCTTCTTCTTCTTCGTCTTCTTGTTTTGTGTCGCTCTTTGTTTTCTTCTTCTTCCTCTCTGTCGCAGCTTCTTCTTGCTCTTATATTTCTTTAGCATCTTCTTGTTCTCTTCTTCTTCTTCTTCTTCTTCTTCTTCTTCTTCTTCTTCGTTGTCGCACACAGACAAAGATTTAGAGAGAGAGATAAAGATAGATAGATAAATAGATAGATAGATAGATAGATAGATAGATAGATAGATAGATAGATAGATAGATAGATAGAGATAGAATGGCAGACGGAAGAGGTGAGGCGGCCGCACGATCGACGACGCCTTTGCCGTCTACATCTCCAACGCCAGCAGTTGGTGAAGGGGGCCCATCTGCCACTCCGCAGGCAATCACTGCTCCTCTTCCTACACCACCTTCGTTATCCTCTTCAATACCGACAGATGGCGAGGGGGGGGCAGCTGTCGAGGAGGGGCAATCGGCATCGGAGACGTACGCATATGGAGAAGGCGGATGGGGCCACCTTCCACAAGCGAGCCCCCAACGAAATGGGGGTTGGGGGGCCGATCCGGCTCACGGTCCTTACGGGTGGGCGACCATAGCCGCGACGTACCAAAATGTAGAGTGGTCGCCATGCCCTCCTCCCCCCAACGGTTTCCTTCACTCTCCGCCGACGAGCGATGACGAAGGGCGGGGGGGTCGGCTATGGCGGCGATGACGGAGGAGGGAATGCTGGTGTCGGAGACGGTTTTTTTTTGTCTTTTTCAGTTCGGGCATGTTTTTCTTTTCTTTTATTCCTCGGCCATGTTTTTCTTTTTTTTTTCAAAGAAAAGGGCAATGGCCTTGGCATTTCTTTTTTGTGTAGAGCAAAAAACGCGACGACCAATAGTATGCCATTTCCGTTTTGGTGTGATTTTTTTTATTTTTTATTTTTGGGCTTTTTCGGTTCGGGCATGTTTTCCTTTTTTTTAAAAAAGCTTTTTTTTTAAAAAAAAAGGGCGACGGCCTTGAGATGTCAGCCGGGATCGGGAGGTCGGCAGCCTCGCGTGATCATGCTAAGATCAACACGGGGAAGTTGGACCGTGGGAAGTTGGTATGGAGTCGGGATTGGAGGAGGGATGAAGAAGGGGAGAAGGTGGGTTCGAAGGAGGGATGGGGAGGAAGGTCGCGATGATGGGATGGGGATCTGAGCAATTGGAGGAGGGATGAGGAAGATGGAAGTCGGGACGGGAGAGGTGGCCAGTGGGAGTCGGGATGCAGTTGGGATTTGCAACAGCTTCGAGATAGTCATACGACACTAGGAGTCGGGATGGAGTCCGGATTGGAGGACAGTCGGGATAGGGGAGGTGGAGAGTCGGGGTAGAGGGAGAGGGGAGGGAGAGGGGGAGGGGGGGGGAGGCCTCTTTTTTTCTTTTTTTTTGTAGAAAAAAAGGGCAGTGGTCAATGGTATGCCATTTCCTTTTTGGTGTATTTTTTCTAGAGACGGCCATGGGGAAAGTGGAGAGTCGAGAGGGAATGGACTGGGGATTCGAGGGATAGGGAGGAAGTTCGGGATGAGGAGATGTGGATCTGAGGAGGGACAGGGAAGAAAAGTCGGGGTCGGGGGTCGGTATGGAGTCGGGATTAGAGGAGGGACTAAAAGGACCACGGCCTGGAGAGTTGGGGTTTCGTTATTGTGTTTTTCGTTTTCGTTTTTTTTTTTTTTTTTTTTTTTGGTAAAAAAAAAGGGCAACGGCCAATGATGTGCCATTTCCGTTTTTGTTGGGTCCTTTTTCTCCACACCTTCGCCTCTTGTTGAGTCGAAAAAAGAAAAGAAGGGCGAAACCCTTACATATATGGTTTACATATAAGGTTTCATTAGTGGAATGGAACGAGGCCCTATGCTCTTAGGAGCACGAGGTAGTCGGACGGAAGCAATTGTAGGCGTTGGAAAGATACGCGGCAGGATATCAATCTGCACGGCGGGTGCTAAAGTCGGGTCGAAGCCATGGCTTTGGCTCTGGCGTTGGCGCATGCGGGAAAGGGCTGATGTAGGGCGGACGCCTGGTACTGCCCGTGAATTCGGAGTTACGGCAGACCAGAGAGATTTGGAGCAAAGCCAGGGTGTCGCGCGGAAAGGTGTTGAGGTTTGCGTCGAGGCCACTGGGGCGGACTATCGTATGGGGAGAGGTCGCTTTCTTGGGAGGAGGGAGGAAGTTGTGGCAGCTGGGCAGCTGGGCAGCTGGGAGGGTGGCAGCAGGGATAGCGCGGAGAGAGAGCAAGACAGGACGCGCGGAAAACCTGCCAGCGAGCGGTGTTGCGACCTATAGTGGGTTTGGGGAATCCTCAAGTGCCGCGAAGGAGGGGACAATTAAGAGGACATCGAGAAAGAAGTATGAACGCTCCGGGGGCGGCTCCCGCGGTACTTGCTCTCCCTTTTCTTCCCACAACCCACCCTCCGCGCCCTGCTTGTAGTCCTCGTGATTGTCCTACTCTCTTCTCCCCACTTGTTGTTATCCACTCCTCACCCTTTTCTTCTTCTTCCTCCTTCCTGTTTGTCCTCCTCGTGATTGTCGTACTCTCTTCTCCCCACTTGTTATCCACTCCTCACCCTTTTTCTTTCGTCTTCCTCCCTTCCTCCTTCGTCGTGATTGTCCTACTCTCTTCTCCCCACTTGTTGTTATCCACTCCTCACCCTTTTCCTTTCATCTGCCTCCTTCCTCCGTCCTCCCCCGTTTCCCTCCTCTTTCTCCCCCTCTTCTATGCGCTTTCTCATCGCTATCCTCCTTGTTCTATTGTCCTCCTGTTCCCCCTCTCCTCCTCTTCCTCGTTTTTCTTCTTCTCCTCGTTCCCCTTCTTCTTCCTTCTCCTTGTCCTCCTTTCCCCACTCCGATTTCGCCTCTAACGGCTCATCTGCTCTGGCCTCTCTCTACCTTATTTTATTTTTAGGCAATCTTCTGCATGACTTTGACGAATGTCATTTCACCGGCTTCCATTTGAATGCACACGCGTGCGTGCGTACGTATGTGTGTGTGTGCGCGCGCGCGCGCGTGTGTGTGTGTGTGTGTGCGTGCGTGTGTGTTTGTGTGTGCGTGTGTGTGTGTCTGTGTGTGCGTGCGTGCGTGTGTGCGTGCGTGCGTGCGTGCGTG